ATTCTTAGACTTACTTGGCAAGCTAAACATGACTGACATCCATGCTTATCTTGAGGGGGAGTGTTGGTTCAATTGGTTTAGTGTTTATGTTAGTCTTGTTTATGTTTTAAGTTCTTAGTTATTGGGCCTAAACTTGTTTTATTCTTTTTTTATGTCTAGGTGTCCCATCACTAATCAGAGGCATTCTAGTCCATTCTTGTAACATTACTTTGTAAACATCTATATAAGGTTATAGGGCCGGCTGAAGTGTGTATGCCGCCATTCTCAAATTTTCTTCTTTTCTTCTTCTTTTTCTTCTTCTTCTTCTTCTTCTTCTTCTTCTTTGGCTGCTGTTCTCCAGCAAACAACTTATTCAGCAAATATGACATCTATAGAAACAAACTAGGTACTATTAATAGGATCATAACAACAATAACCCTTTGTGTGGAGGCATAACTAAGGAATATACATTTCTAGGCCTTAAGTTCAAACTTGTGTCTCTAAGATCTAGGGATATGGACATAACAAGTACATCCAACGATATGTAGAGGAAGAGAGAAAAAATCAGTTTTAGGAAAGAGCTGAGATATGTGCCTTAATGGAAGGGTTAAGGAAGACAAAGGAGCTGAGTATTCATAGACTAATTGTGGAAGGAGACTTAAAGCTGGTTACAGAAAGACAATGGTCTATGGAAATATGCAAATGAGAGAAGGGAGGCTAAATAGCTAACTAGAGGGTTGGAGGTTCAGTTTCAATGGGTGAAGAGGACTGCAAATGCTTTTGTAGAAACGTTGGCAAAACAAGGGGTTGGAAGGGAACAAATGTTTTGGGCTGTATTATAATTTTCTTTTCTTTTCTCTTTTTTGGGAGAGTTAAGCCTCCTTATCTCTTCCCGGATTGTTGTATTGTAATTGTCCATTAATAAATTGATCTTGTTATTGATCCAAAAAAAAAAAGAGAGAGAGAACATTAAAAGGAGATTTAAGTCCTAAGGCCTTGGATGGCATGTGGTAGATAAGATAAGTTAGCAGTGTAATTGAGTCGAGTCAAGTTGAGTATTAGGCTACTTGAGCTCGAGATTGACTCAAAAACACAAAGCTCAAAACTTGACTCAAGCTTGATTGAGTTTCATGTTTTTGGCTTAAACTCAACTTGAGTCAATACTCACGAACTACTCAAGCTTGGCTCAACTCAAGTTGATTATAAACAAATAGTATTAAAAATTATAAATAAATTAATATTAAGCATGTTGAAAATACTAAAAATAATAATATATTAAAAATGATAGTTAATTTCATATTATAAAAACTATAATAAAAATATATTATGAAAATAAATTATAAATTTATTTATATTATAAATAAGTTAATGTCAAAAAATTAATGTTTATTTATATTATAAGTACAAATATATTAAAAATTAGTATTTTATTATGATCTCAATAAGCTAGTCGACCTAGTTTGTTGAACTCAACTCAACAAACTAATCAACTCGAGTCGAGCTTGACTCAGACTCGATTACTTTAAGCCGAGTTTGAATACTTAGTGAGTTGAGCCCAAGTAGCTTGCAAAAAGGTCGGCTATCTTACACCGATAAAATAGGTGGTTGTAATAATCACATCCCCTCAAAACTTTATAGGAACATGAGAAGCAAAAAGTTGCTTCTAGAAACTTCAATAATGTGGCAGCCATTCCACTTGCCTACTCCATTCTATTGTGGAGTATACGTACATGAACTTTGATGGATAACTCCAAAATGCTCAAAATACTCCTTAGCATTGTCAGACTAGAATATTTTGATATGGGTATCAAATTGAGTAAGAGAAAACTCATGGATTTTTTTGTACAAGTTTTGGCACTTCATCATAGGAATGCATCATGTATATCCAAGTGCAACATGAGAAATATTCAATAAATAAAATAAAGTATTTATGGCCAACCATTGATGGTAAATGATAAGGTACCCACCCATTAGAGTGCATACTATTAAATAGGAAAGTAGATCTTTTATTACTCAAAGGATATGAATTTCTACAATGCTTGAAGAATTTAAATGACCCAGAATGAAGACTAGATAAACTTGTTCCTTTAAAAAATTTTGGAAACAAATGGCTCAATTAAGAAAGAGATAAATGACCCAGATGGAAATGGAATAATATGACACTAATGACTAACTCTAACAAAGTAGACCCAAAAGCAAATTTGGCTTTGCTTAGGCTCATCTAATAGGTATATCCCATTCACCTCATGGACACTCCCAATCACCTTTTGAGACTTCATTTCCTAAAAAACAAAAAGAGGGAAAAAGTATACAATAATTTAGGGATATTGTCAAATATCTAACAAAAAGAAGATTGGTTTTAAGTTTGGGTGCATGAAGGACAAAGGATAGGTATTTCCCTTGCTTGATATAGAATAGAAAGATCCATCTACAAGGGATATCTTATTTTGGCCAGAAAAGAGTTAGGTTTTAAACAAGTGGGAAATATTGGTCATATAATCCAAAGCACTAGAATCTACTAACCAAGGGATCTTATGATTACGTAAAATATTTGCATGATTCGTAGAGGCATAGATACGTGGGTGAGAAAATGCAAATGAGGATGCACTTCCTAAAGAGGTAGATGCTAAAATTGTAATCTTTAGATGACTGATGAGTTTCCCTTAGTTCTTAAATTCTGCCCTTATGGCTGAAGCTGCTCTATAGTTGAATTCTCATTACTGGGCTCTTTTTCACCTTCTACGGTGGTAGCTATAGTTGCATTTCCACCTGTCCCAATCCTAGTATTCTTATTATTATTGTTCTTGAACCTTGATGGTACGAGGTGGGGATATAGTTTCCAACAAGTGTCCTTTATATGTTTGGGCTTCTTATTTTATTCACAAATAATATCTGTCTTTCTCATTAGTAGCTTTAGGCTTCATCCTAGCATGTGTGAAATAATCAATAGGTTCTTCCTAGACCTGCACCCGCCTTCTACTTTCTTCACTACTCACCATTGCATATGTTTGAGATAAAGTCACCTCATCCTTTTCCAACAAATTTTGCCTAGTGATGTCATACTTAGAGTTGAATATAGTTAAGAACTCAAATACCCTACTTTTCTTCACCAATTTCTTGTAAATCTTAGCATGCTCTCCCACACACTAGTTTCCATCAATTCAATCTCCTTCCAAAGTGATCTCAGCATTGAGAATTAAACAACTACAGGTTTCTCACCCTATCTTAAATTATTCACATATCGTTCTTTAATTTATAAGCTCTGACTAAATTTAACTTATGAGAATATGTCTCTACTGCATTATCCCATATCTTGTTTGATATATCCATCCACAAATAGTGTTGATTAATGTAAGGTTGGATAGAGTTCACTAACCAGCCTTTAACATTATAGTTTTCCTACATCCATTTTTCATAAGTAGGATGTCACCCTTTGGCTTCTTACGATCTGTAAGGTATCCCCACTTTGCTACAAATATGGATCTTTACTGACTAATACCAAGCGAAATAGTTGGTCCCATCTTGCTTTACTATAGTTACTGTGCCCAATAAAGAGTCTATAGATCTTCCCAAACCAAGTTTGGATTCTATGCCTTGCTTAACTTCTACTCTTGTTTGTTCTATTAATCCAAAAACTTCGTTAGACAGTATTCTGAAAATGAATGAAAACCAATTCGACCTTAACCATTGATCTCCAAGTGAGAAACCACACAAGAGAAGCACTAGTTCTAGGGTTTCACACAACCTTACAACTTGGGAGAATAAGTAAAACACCACCCACTCCTTACAAGAGTTCCAGAAACTTGTCCAAGTTGAATTGTTCTCAAATGGGCTTCAAGAGGATCCTCCAAAGCTTGAGCACCACTCTACCCTTGATTTAAAAACTTCTCTAATCTGCTAGGGTTCTTGGGATGAATCTCCAAGCACCAACTTTGGGGTTCATAATTCAAAACTGATAAAAAAATCTCCAAAAACCTCCACCAATCAGTCTACATCAATCAACTACCAATCAACAACTTAGATCTCCATACACACTACCAATCAATGGGTGTATGGGATTAAAAGAGAGAAGAAAACTTGCGGTACTTTGATACCAAAAAGAAGAACAAAACATCAATACAAATTTATTTAATTATTTAATCAAGAAAAATAGTGTAGAAAAGGAAGATGGAAGAAGGAAGTCAGAAAGCCCTTAATATGGCAACAATTTAATAAACATAAAAGAATGAGACTAACAGGCCCATTACAAGATGATTAATTAGCTAAAATAAAAGAAGTAATCAAGTACCAGTAGTAGTCAGACTATTATCTTTAAATTTACATCATGTGGTTAGATTGTATTAGAATGCAAAGCAGTTTGAGGAATCAGAATCAATGTTTAGAAAAACGGGTCATGCATCGACCCCGAAAAGAGAGGTTAATGGGTTAGAGGTTCAACTGGGGTTGAACTGTGATGATGTAATATTGTATATAATATATAATATGCAAAATTAAATGATATATACATAATAATGTTAATTATATATTTATATATTAAAAATATATAATTATAATCTGCTATAAGATATATAATTTTATTTTAGTTTCGATTTCTTTATATTGAAAATTAAGATTTGAGGCCAAAAAAAGATTTGTTTTTTTTTTTGCAAAACTAGTGGGGCAAGGGACCTTTGGAACACATAGATCTTGGATATTTACCCAACATTAAAAAAAATACCCAATTGAACAAAGTAATGGCCTTTGGAAGTTTGCATTTTGTGTTTAAAAAAATTTGAAAAAACAACTGGTTTTCTAAAACTGGGATTGATTCACTAGTTTTTTGGTTGGACAATCCGAATCTGATTTTGGCTAGTTTCTTGTGACTTCAGTTTTAGGGGTTTGACCAAACTGGCCAGGGGCCTGGTCACTATTCAACCAGTTTGATCAGGTTCAAGAAACTAACCATTTTTCCAGCTCATCACGAAATAGTTAATATCTACAAAAAGTTGAAAACAATTGCACAACACAATCCATTTACATACCTTTGGACCATGTCTGTATTTTGATGCTACTTTTCGATCATCAAGAAATCTTAAAAAGCTCCTACAACAACAAAATACACAAGATCACTTTCATAATATTCTGTCAAGGAAGTAATAGAACATTACTACAAAATTATGACCAGATTGATGTAGATGGCCCAGCCAGAAGGTAAGGTTTGGTCCTTTGTCTCATTTATATGGGCTCTCCTTTTGTACTTTTCTCTACACCTTTATTTGTACTATGGATCTTTTATTATTAATTCCGAAATAAAAAGGTATTTGCTTCAAAGTTGAGGAAGTGACCTGTTTTACTTGAAGTGAAAATTTTTAACTGATGCAGAGCCTAATGGAGTTGTTAATGGACAAGAAGGCCCAGTACATAAACCAATAGGTCCCTAATGCTCAGTTTGAAAGGAGTACAAATACAAATGTTTGAGTGCAGAACTTTGCATTTTGTATTATTTTATATGTATTTGCACTGTACATATTTGTATTTGTACTTTTTTCCAAATTGAGAATAAAGTAATAAACATGTTTCCATGTACCTAAAGTAGTATGAATTGATAAAAAATGCTTTTATCACATACTTCAAAAATAGTCTTCAATTAAGAGATCAATTTTAGAAAATCTTAAATCTTGCTCATAGAATTACACAATTCAGGCATACTTTTTTCATTTGATGTATTCAATTTAAGAAAACTGAAGTACAAGTTTATCACTTTATTTGTGGTCTTATTTTGAAGTCCTAGAATTTGTTTATTAGGTTTGACTTGGGTAATAATTTTCCATTATTTGTTAAAGATCTTAGCATCTCATGCACTAAAGATATTTCTAAAAGTTATAGAGTTGTAAAGAGTAGTGTGGGAGGAAGAGAAAGTGGGTTATGGGAGAATGGGGTGTGTTACAGTTCACACCCATAAAGTTCCTTTTATATTAGAGAAGAAAAATTACATTCATGCCCCTAAATAGGAGCCCAAATACAAATAAGAAAGATATAAAGACAATAATGCTCCTATGCACAATTCATATTCTCAATGTTCCCTCTTAAGTTGAGCATAGATGTCTGTCATGCCTAGCTTGCTTGGGTTTCTATCAAGTTTCGGCTTGTGGAGACCTGGAGACCCTTGGTGAAACAATCAACAAGTTAATCTTTTAACTTGGAAAATGGCACAGATATTTCTCTATTGGCTATCTTTTCTCTAATGAAGTGTCTGTCAACCTCAATGTGCTTTGTGCGGTCATGTTGAACAGGATTATGGGAAATGTTTATAGCAGCTCGGTTATCACATTATAGTCTCATTGGGGCTTCAGATTGGATCCCAATCTTAGATAACAAGGTCTTCAGCCATAGTAATTCTGACACACCATGAGCCACAGAACAACATTACCTCCAAGATACAACATTACCTCCCACCAGTATATTCAGCCATATTCGACTTCAACACTAGGTTAGGCTATAATAGGTTGTTTTTTACTTCTCCAAGATACAACATTACCTTTCACCAGTATATAGTAACTAAAGGTGGATCTCCTATCATTTATAGAATTTGCCCAATTAGCATCAGTATAAGCCTCGACCTTGAGATGTCCAAGGTTGGAGTGCAACATTCCTTTGCCTGAACACCCCTTTAGGTAGGTAAGAATCCTATTGATAGATTGCATATGTAAAGTTCTGGGATTATGCATTTATTGACTAACCATGCTTACAACATAGGATATACTAGGTTGGGTCAAGCACAAGTAGAGATGCCGCCCAATAAGTCTCTAGTAGACATCCTTGTCTAGAAGAATGACTCCCCATCATTAGCACGCAGTTTATGGTTGGGGTCAAATGGGAGTTTCAATTAGCTTGCACCCTACCTTTGCAACCCCATGAAGGAGATCAAGGACATACTTTCTCTGTGAAATGAAAATCCCTTCCTTTGACCTTGCCACTTCAATTCCAAGAAAGTATTTGAGATTCCTGAGATCTTTGATCTCAAATTTAGAAGTAAGAAATGACTTTAGTTGGTTTATCTTAGAGTAATCATCTCCATTGACAACAATATCATCAACATACACTATCAACAGAGTCACTAGGCCATTAACCCTTCTTATGAAAAGAGTATGATTTGCTTGTGATTGTTTGAACCCGATTCTAAGAACAACTTGCCTGAATTTGTCAAGTTAGGCTCTAGGAGACTACTTAAGACCATAAAGAGATTTTTTTAGATAGCAAACCTTCCCCTCACTGTTAAGGAAGCTTATCCCTAGGGGAAGATTCATATAGACCTTCTGTTGAAGATCTCCATTAAGGAAGGTATTCTTTACATACATCTGGTATAAAATCCATGAATAACAAGCAACAAGAGACATAATGACTCAAATAGAGTTCATTTTGGCTATGGGGGAAAAGGTCTCCTGATAGCCAATCCCATATGTTTGGGTGTACCCTTTTGCTACCAACATAGCTTTATATCTTTCAATCGATACATCAGCCTGGTGTTTTATAGTATACACCTACTTGTAGACAATGCATTTTAGTGATGAGGAATCATAAGAAACATAGTTAGTGATGGGGTAGGCAATGCATTTTCTTTTTCCTTTTTGGATTATAATGGGAAGGTCAAGATCAGATTGTGAGATATCAAGCTGAATAACAATATGAATAGGAAGTTCAGGTTTGTTTTTAGAATTACCTTGAGGTGGGTAATTAGATTGTTGTGGACATTTAACCTTAAGTCTAACCTTCCCTTTGAAACTTATAAACCACTATTGTCAGGACTATTGCTGAGGAATAGGGGGAGGGGAAGGACCAAGAATACTAGTACAGTGTTACTACAATTGGAAAGGGAGGAGGATGGATTGGGAATGTCCATAGAGATAGGAACAAGGAAACTAAAAAGAGTCCAATCTTTACTAACACTCTCCCCTTGAAGAAAATGATGAGCGGGCTAGAAATACAGAGTAGACTCAAGGAATGTGACATCCTTAGATACATACTCTTAGTTAGAGTGGGGATCAAAGCACTTGTACCCTCTTTGGACTGGAGAGTAACCCAGAAAAGCACACTTAATAGATTTAGGGTCAAGTTTGAGATGAGAAAGACTCATGTCATGAACAAAACAACTACAACCAAAGACTCTAAGAGGAAGATAGAACATGGGGTCATTATGGTAAAGAAATTAGTGAGGTGATTGAAGGAGAAATGTCTGTGAAGGAAGTTTGTTAATGAGATACACTACTACTTTAACTATATCTCCCTAGAAGCAGGTTGGCACATGCATTTTAGTAGCAATGAATAACAATACATTTAATGCTTTGCTAGTTTCATCAATAAATAGAAATACATTAAACGAATTAATTTCCCAACATATATAGTAATGGACTTAATATGAAGATGGCATACCATATACCAGTTTCATCTGCTGAGAAAACCATGGGTTTACAACTAAAGCCAACACCTATTAATATTCTCTCAGAAAGAAATAGGACCTGGGACAGAAGCTCATGTAAGTGCTAAGACAAACTGCAGTGAACTAAATCAATTTGAACAGTAACAAGAACTAGATATACTTGGGTAGAACATTCAAAAATGTAATGCTAACAAGAGAGGATTCTGACCCACATCACGGAGAGGTAAATCACGGAATGCTACATTTTGGGTGAGAGGAGAAGGGCCAACATCACCAACAAAGTAGATCATAGAATTGTGACCTGAAAAGTGATACAAATGGTAGTCTGATCAAGAAATTGTTGTTTTCATATACTTATTTTGTACTAGAAGTTTATAATCAAGTTTAAGCATCTATAGAACATGTAGATCTAAGTGCAGAAACTTTGGCATGTGCAGACAATGGAGATGAAAACCCAGGAAGAATTCAAAGAATACTTAGGTATCGAAAAGGAAAAGTCCAATTCAACTTGAGCATATGTAAAATGGAATCATAGAAAATCCCAGGAAGAATTCAAAGAATACTAAAATATTCCTTGCATTATGTGGAGAGTGTTTCCTATAATTTATAATTGATTCAAATCAATGCTGGAAATGTAGGTCATGTTGGCATTGTCCTATTGGAACAATTCTGGTGTTTGGGGAACAAAAAGGAAAATATATTTTGCTCCTGGGAACACCAAATGTGTTTCAATGGAGCATTACAAAACTTCATCATGGATTCCACAATGATTTCCCCCTCATAAAAGAGCTGCATGGGAGAAAATTTTCTGACCTACATAAGCTAAGGTATTGCCACTAGGAGACCACTTTACACCAAATGTCCAGCAAAATGAGAGATCAAGTTGAATGATTTCCTGCATCAACAGAGTAAAATGAAGAAAAGGAAAAATAAGTAAATACATAAATCCATACAATATGATATTAAACTACAAAGATAATAGTTCCCAACCTTTAAATGTGGAGACGTAATTATGTTAAAAGATCAAATTAATCAGTCCCCCTTCCATCCCCAAAAAAAGTTCAAACAGCGAAGGAACTTTCCTTAAACAATGTCTGTTTAATATAAATTTTAAGGATATAAATAACTTGATACAAATTACTAATAAAACAAGCTCCTCAACCAAAAATATTTTCTTTTCCCCAATACAACACATGTTTTGTAGTTACTCTTAAGATTTTGACCATAGATTATTTTGAAGGCATTTCAATTAATTCAATTCTCAAAGAATGACAGACCATCACTAACTCAATATGATTCATTCACAGGTTTTGGGATAGGATAGTTCCCCTCATGGAAGTATCACTTGGGAAACTGGGGCCCTCAGGGCTTAGAGGTACTTTCAGAGTCATGCATTCAACAGAACCATGTATTCTGGTTCAGTTGGGTGTTAAGACTCGACTCATGCTGAGATTTGCATTTGTCCCTTCTCCAAGGCCTTCTACTGAAATACTTTCTGGGCCTTCTGAATTTTATGATTGAGAAAGATTCCGTGGTTGTTATAAGCTAGACATTTGATGGTTCATAATAAAGTTCAGAACTGTATAGGTTATAGTTTCAGAATAAAAGAAAGAGAGAAAGATAAGGAGAGAAGAGAGAGGAAGAGAGAAGGAGAGAAGAAGAAAGGCTGGTTCGACTAGAGAGAAAAATCTCGCCTTCTAGTTGGCCAGGTTATATTTATAGTCTTCTATATTAAACACAAATTGACTTTTATGCCCCTACTTAAGTATGGGACACCCCACTTAACTTAACATTACACCTCATACTAAACATAAACAAAATGACTAATCTTCCCCTATACAGTTGACGTCAACACTCCCCTCAAGCTGGTGAGTATATGTCATATATTACCAGCTTGTTACATATATAGTCCACTCTTGCCTGACTCAACCCTTTGGTGAACAAATCTGCCCATTGACTTCTTATGTTAACATATGTTGTACTTGTCACTCCACTAAGAACCTTCTCTCTCACAAAGTGGCAATCAACTTCTGTGTTTTGTTCTCTCATGAAAAGCTAAATTAGAGGAGGTGTGGACTGCAGCTTGGTTGTCACAATGAAGTTTCATTGGAGTGTCAATCAAGTACCCCATCTCCTGTAGAAGATTTCTCAACCACACTAGTTCACAGGTTGTATGTGCCATGGCTCTGTATTCAGCTTTTGCTCTGCTTCTTGCCACCACTCTCTATTTCTTACTCTTCCATGTCACCAAATTACCCCCAAGAAAGGTACAATAACCTGTAGTGGACCTTTTGTTAGATACAAAACCAGCCCAATCAGCATCGGTTTATCCCTCTATTTCAAGGTTTCCTCCACTCTTGTATAACAAGCCACGACCAGGAGCTTCCTTCAAATACCTTACAATCTTTAGAATTGCATCCCAATGTGGAACCCAAGGATTCTGCATAAACTAACTCACCACACTAACTACAAATGAAATGTCTGGACGAGTAATGGTTAGGTAGTTTAGCTTACCCACCAACCTTTTGTACTTTCATGGATCTTCAAACTCCTCACTTGTATCATTACTCAACTTGATATTCAATTTGATGGGTGTTTCAGCTGGTTTGGCACCCAACAACCCTGTCTCCTCTAGTAGGTCAAGAACATATTTCCTTTGGCACAAGTTAATACCATACTTGGACCTCGCTACCTCTATCCCTAAGAAATATCTTAGTTTACCAAGGTTCTTTGTTTGGAAGTGATCATGCAAAATGGTCTTCAACCTATCAATCTCGAGCCTGTCACTTCCAATAATAACAATATCATCTACACATACCACCAATAAAATCTTCCCAGCACCAAAACCATAGTTGAATACTAAATGGTTGACCTGGCATTGTTTCATGGCAAATTTCTTCACTACTTCACTGAATCTGCCAAACCATGCACAAGGAGACTTTTTAAGTCCATAAATAGCTTTCTTGAGCCTACACACCTTACTATCCTCCCCCTGAGCAACAAACCCGAGTGGTTGCTCCATATACACCTCCTCAAGAATATCACCATGCAAAAAAGCATTCTTAATATCAAGCTGAAACAAAGGCCAATCATACATAGCAGCTAGAGATATCAAAACATGAACTGAACCAATCTTGGCAACAGGAGAGAAAGTATCTATGTAGTCAATAGCATATAACTGTGAATAACCCTTGGCAACCAACTGAGCTTTCAACTGCTTAGCACTACCATCGGGTAAATATTTGATAGTGAATATCCACTTACATTTGACAACATACTTACCAGGAGGAAGAGTGGTGAGGTCCCACGTATGATTATGAGCAAGAGTGGAGAGTTTGTCTTCCATCGCTTGGTGCCATCCTGGAGAGATAAGGGCTTCTTGGACATCCTTAGGAACAGAAACAAAAGATAACAACAAAACAAATTGTTGATGGGAAGGAGAAAGGTGAGATACAGAAACATAATTAGATATAGGATGAAGGGTGCAACTACGTTTACTTTTCCGTAGGGCAATGGGAAGGTAAAGATAAAAAATGGGGTGTGATGGTGCTGCAAAAATAACTACTGGATCCATCGATGGTGAAGAAGCTGGAGGAGCCAGTGCATGTCGACGCGTATACACTTGCTAGATAGGTGATCGTTTAGCGGGAAGTGGCACCGGAGGCAAAGACGTGGTCGCAGCTGGAACAAGAGGAATGAGATCCTCAACAGGAACAAGAAGAAGAAGAAGACGAAGAAGAAGAAGAAGAAGAAGAAGAAGAAGAGACATCCGACCCAGAAAAGAAGGGAATCGACCCAAAGAAAGTAACATTAGGACACACAAAGCAATGTCGAGAACTGGGATTATAACACTTATACCCTTTTTAGGTCCTAGAATAGCCAAGGAAGACACAGTAGATCGTGCATCTAATTTGTCCAATCCAGGGCCAAGATTATGAACGAAACACACACCCAAAAATCTTGGGAGTAAGAGGAAAAGGGGACAATGTAGGAAACAAAACTGAGAAGGGAGACTGACCATCAAGGATGGACATAGTATTCTGTTAATAAGGAAGCAAGATGTAAGCACAACATCACTCCAAAAACATTTGGGTACATTCATATGGTGCAACAGGGGCCGAGCAGTTTCCAAGAGGTGGCGGCTCTTCCATTAAGCTACCCCATTTTTTTAGGGGTGTAAGAGTAAGAGGTTTGATGAATAATACCATGTTGTTCTAAACATTATTGAAAAGACGTATAAAAATATTCTCGGCCATTATCGAAATGTTGGATTTTAATATGTACACCAAATTGAGTGCAAATTTCAGCATGAAACTTTTGGAAGATTGAAAATAATTCACTCATTTCTTTCATAAGATAAAGCCATGTCATCCTTGAATAATCATCAACAAAAATAACAAAACTACTTGTAACCATTGTGTGACGCTATTTTATTTGGCCCCCAAATGTCCGAATGGACCAAAGAAAAAGGACTCAGCATACGACTATTGACTCTAGGACTAAAGGGAACCCGATGATGTTTCTCATACTGACACGACTCATAATCCAAAGTAGGAATACGATTCAATGCTGGAACATGTTGCTTAAGAGCATTAAGAGATGGATGACCAAGTCTGCAGTGCCATTGGAGAGGAGAAAAAGATGACTAAAGTGTTGTTGACAAACCACCACCACCATCAAGATAATACAGTCCACCACCTTCATGTCCTCCACTAATCTTCATCCCTATCTTGAGATCCTGAAAAACACAAGATGAGGGGTAAAAGGTGATAGAGCAATTAAGAGACTTGGTCAATTTACTAACAGACATAAGATTAAAGGGAGCTTGGGAACATACAAAACTAAAGACAAAGAGAGTGAACCAGTGTTAACATCACCAATACCACATATAGAAGAAGTGGAACCATTAGCAAGGGTAACAGTGTGGGTTGCAGAGGATGAAGAAAGGGAAGAGAACACACCTGGAGTCCTAGTCATATGATCGCAAGCTCCAGAATCAATGATCCAATGGGAAGGTTTGGATGCCAGAGAAGCCATATCTGAGTAGGCAAGTGTACTTGGCTGATATGTAGCCTAGATCAACCGTTGATATTCATTACGTGGAATGCTCATCATCTATTGTTTGGAGGCATCCATTGATGGAGAAGGTGTCTAATTGGCCTGTTGATTCTCTTGTTCCATACCACCACTAGCCACTACATGATTTGCCCAGGTTGAAGGTGGGTCATGTAGATCATAGCAAAAATTAATAGTATGTCCTTCCATACCACAATGTGTACACCTTCTCAGACCATTACTACATCCTCTACCATGAGCTCCCCTTGAATCTCGATCTCCAATATGCCCACCACCACGGCTGTACATGTGTCCACCACCACTGCGATTGTACATGTGTCCACCACCACCACTACGGCCTGGCTGAACATGATGAGTTACTCTACCACCACGACCTCCCCTCTTGTCACTGCAAAAGCAAACCTATCTGATATGATGGAGTTCTCCAGAGGTCAAACAGAAATCCTCTGGAGATGGGAAAACACCTCTACAAGAGAAGGGAGGGCAGACCCACCTAGTTTCTGTGCTCTCGCTGGTTCATATTCAGACTTCAGTCCCACTAAAAATCCAGTTACATCAAGCTGCTCTCTTTGTTGTTGCTGAATTTTGACATCAGATTTAAGGGGGTGGTACACATTCAACTCATTCTTGAGATTTCTCAGACTAGCATAGTACTCCTCAAGATTCTTATTACCCTATTGCAAGTTAAAATACTCTTGAAAGAGCTGGTATACTCTAGTGGTGTTGTTTTGCCCTGAGTAAAGCTTTTTTTCATGATCCCAAATCTCCTTGGCTGTGTCTAAGGACATGAAGTTCACATTAATCTTAGGTTCCATGTCGTTCCATAACCAAGTCATAATTTGTGCATCTTTTTGTTCCGAATCACTGTAGTCCTGAGAATCAACTAGAGGTTTGTCTCCTCTCACATGCTTAACATTATTCTTAGCCCTAAGAGAAATTTCAACAGATTTGGCCCAAGACACATAATTCTCTCCATTCAGTTTGATGGAGGTCATTTGCACATTCAAGTAATCAGGGGGAATCATAACAGACTTGTGTTCACTACTGTCTCCCATGGATGCCATAATTTTTTTTTCTTTCCACACTAATATGTTACCCTACCTTACCAATAATCACCACACTGCACTCCTATGGCTGAATGATCACCACTGTTCCACTCATACGGCTGACCATTGCTGAAACATTCACTGTCACAGGTTTCAGCGATGATAGTCACCACTATTCTCCACTTTCGACACCACACAAAAAAATCACACACAAAGACATCAGACCAACACTCCACACATCTGAAACTAGGTCTTCAACCCATCTATCTGAACCACACATCTGAACTTAGATCACGAAACTACTGTAGCAACCCTCTTCGGTCCATCAAGTAGAGGGTTTTCTACCAGCCACCTGAAACCACCACACCACAATCAATCGGAGGCATTAAAACCTCCAGAAGGAAAAAACAACCACTCCTTTTCAGCCTTTTTGTCAAACTCCAAGAAACCTAAGAGAATTCTGCAGAATACTAAACTAGGGTGCGCAGAAGCCTATACAAATCTAAACTGATTTAACCTGGCTCTGATACCATGGTAAAGTTCAGAACTGTATAGGTTATAGTTTCAGAATAAGAGAGAGAGAGAAGAAAGGCTGGTTCAACTAGAGAGAAAAATCTCACCTCTCTAGTTGGCCAGGTTATATTTATATTCTTCTATATTAAACACAAATTGACTCTTGTGCCCCTAATTAAGTATGAGACACATCACTTAATTTAACATTACACCTCATACTAAACATAAAAAAAATGACTAATCTGCCCCTATACAGTTGACACTAACAGTTCAGATAACAGATAATCCCTAGTCATTGCAACATCAAATCAAATAGGTTACGGCGTTGGTCTCCAGAATGGGCACCTCATTCAATGGACCATAAGGTCAGTTAATAAAATCTGATAATTTCACAAAGAGAAGATTTAAGAAGAGCAACTTGTAGTCGGTTATCTGATTCCAAGTTAGCTTTTCTCTGCTTTTCTTGGTACTGTCATTTTCTTGTCAGTTTGGTAGGCTTTTTTGTGTTTTATCATCTCTTTTTTTCTTCTAACAGCTGATCCATTGTAAGTTTCAGCTTGTGACTTAACCAATAGATTCTTTGATTCACTATTGATCAACAACTAGTGGTCACAACTCAGTAAGGTCACCATCATATGAAGGGAGCATTTCATCAATGAAGTGGTGTCAGATGGGACTTGTGGTAATACAATATTGGTTTATGGGCGTTAAGGGATTCTTGTTGAAAATTCTTTCTAAACTTCCACATCTAAGCCTTCCCATCAATGATGAATCTACATGCAACAGAATAAGAGAAGATTTGCATAGCGACATGTCAGTGCACATAAAGAAGACATTATCTAAACAATAGCAGGCTTGAATTCAATGTACAGAATATAATACAGGCATCATTTTCTCTCAACATATTTAATTTGTTATACATGTATTGATATGCTGAAGAGAAGAGATTTTTATCAGTAATAAATATATGCAGAAGAGAAGATAGCTTTTAGACCTCCCCGAATTTTGGATCAGAAGACACACTTGTTCCTGAATCCCTGGACATTAGCCAAAAAGGAAGAAAAAAGATATGTTAGTGCAAAATATCCCAACAGATTGTTAGATTCCTAATATAGGGAATCTAATATGCTTCTACAACTTAGTTATAACATACCTTGAATCAACACCTTTGATTAAAGTGGAGAAAACTCGGCATTTTCCATCAATAGATGTTGTTGCAAGAAGGATCTGTGTTTATATTAGTTAATAAATACCTAGAATATAATAAATGCTTGTATTGAGACCTAAAACTAAGAATTGTAAATGCTCAATCATCCAAAGATCATAATGCAAACATTGGTAGACAAAGTAATGGGTTCATAAATTCAAATTTAAATTCACAAACCTATGGAGCAGAATTTAGCCAAAATTCCTAATTAGAAGAACCCAAACTCCTATAAGCAAAATCAACGATGTGCCTGTTCTTCTGCTTAAACATGGGCCTACGTAGAAACCTTGGATCCCCCTTGAAATCACCTAATGAATAAAATGTTGATACTTATAATCTTGGTCCAAGGATTAAGACCCTATAATATATTCAGAATTTTAACTCTGGTGTTAATTATTACCAGAACAAAAACTAGACACTATTAACCAAATTCTTTTGTGAAAGCTAAACTACTGTAGCCGAAGTAGCAGAAAGGAGAAGGAGAAGAAGAAATGTTGGAATGTCGAACTGTACTAACCAGTCGACCATGTTATTATTTATATTTGAATGAAGTACAAGATACAAGTAATTACTGGAATGCCCCTGATTAGTGATGGGACACCCAGTAACTTAAAACATTAAACAGGCTTAGGCCCATTAACACAGGCCCAGTTACAGGATAACTTGAACTTAAGTATGGGCTAATAAGAACTCTTATCAGCCGAACACTCATACAAAGAGACATCATTCAACATTCTAACATTTTGGGTGAAGAAATTTTATTTTGACCAAATCTAGGACCATATACACTGAACAGTTAGACTGGCCTCTGCTATTGCAAAATGTTTTATTGGGGCCTTAAATTTAGGTACCAACTTAACACACATTAAAAGAATCTTAGAGAGGTGTACTTAGAGTTATCTAATTTCAAATAAATTGATCCATGGATAAATGCATGCTAAATATATAAAAATTTATTTAAACAAGAATTTAAAACAAAAACTTAATGGTCTAAAATAACCTAAGAAAACTATTTATAAGAAAGAAAGAGATCAAATATCAATAATAGAGTTCTGATGCTTAGTAAGAAGTAGTTTCATGAAACCATGTGACCTTCAAAACTATGTTTTGTATGAAGAACATATAAGTCAAAATCTTCATAAGAATATATTTACATGACCACTAAAAGAAAAAAATAAGAGTATACTTGTGAACTGTGAGTAGGGAGGTACATACATTATTAGGATGCCAAGCAACACTTGTCACAGAAGAATCATGTTGTTTCTTGATAACTTTACTGACCCACCTTGAGAAGAGTAAATCATCAAAAAAATAATTGTTATCATTGTAAATAAATACCAAACTTAGAAACAACTTTTAGATCATAAATATTAATGTTTACCTCATTTAATCATTTACACCATATGATACAAGCTTTGTTTTTTTTTTCTATATATATTTGATGCATCAGAAAATACAAATTCAACAATTCAACCACATTTTTTATAGGTCACATAATCTCATTAAAATATTAAGTCAAAAAAAATATTACAAGGAAATTCAGGAGTGTTGATGCTCCCATAGAAATAGGATATCAACTTTAAAAGTTTATAGAGAACACTAAATGATTTATTAATGTTCCAACAACATGAGTGTATTTAAATTATTATTTTGTGAAGTAGAAAGATAACCAAAATTTAGCACTGTGAGGGAAAGTAATGGAACTTCAGTAAAACACTAGAAACAGAAAACAAAATAAGGATATAATTAGCAAGAAAAAAAAAGAAAGAAAACACCACTTACCAATTATTATCTTGCTCATAGTAGCATATACACACAGTTTTAGCTCCACTTCCAACAGCAAACTTGTTTTCTGAAGAGCAAATAACTGATTTAATAAGAACTATGAGCATTAGATGGTAAGGCAAACTTGACCTTTATGAGCAAAATTTCTAACATAAAACCATCAAATGAATTGTGTTGGAAATATCTACTCCAACAATTAAGTCTCATAACCCTTTTCAAACAATAGCAAAAATTTTAAAGAAAATATTAGAGAGATAAAAATAAACAGCAAGGGTCATAGGTGAACAAAACCCTATAAAACTCAAGGGACAAGAAGGAAAGAAACAAGAACCAATTCAAAAAGCCTTTGTGCCAGAGTAGATGAAACTTTATACAAAGCAGCTCTTCTTAGCTAAGGAATTAGCATCCTATGGATTTGCTCAAACAAGGACTTCAGCTTGGAGTCTATTGATGCAGCAGATTTTTAGTTGATCTTAATTTTTTTGCTTCATTATTTCTGTTATATTTTTGAGAGAAGTAGGGGTTTTGGGGGAAGATTAGGTACAACTATAATAATCAGGGGTATGATTGCAACTACCCTTTTAATGGGTCCCTCTAGTCATCAGCCATCCATTTGAGAACAATATTAGAATGGGCCATGGAGCTTTTTATTTTCTTTTTTAAATTTTTTATAAATAACAGGAATGATTGTCCAAAATATGAGTGTGTCAGTAACATGTATGCAAAGATGGATCAGTGGAAAAACTAGAAAGGATAGGATCAGAAATGAAGTCATTTGTAGGAACATAGGAGTAACTCCAATAGGTGATGAATGAGAATAAATGAGATAAAGTAGTAGACTAAGATGGTTTAGTCACAAGCATAGAAGATCATCAACATCACCTATAAGAGGAATTGATCTATTGCAAGTTGAAGGAGCTAGAAGGGCTAGATGTAGACCAAAAAGGGCTAGGTAGAAGTAGTAAGAAATGATTTAAGAATCAATAATTTAACATTTATTGGGATGTAGGGCTTATGTGAAGTGATACACTTGCCTCTCCTTGGAAATCCATCCATAATATCCTTCCTTTGTTTCTCAACCTTATCAGATATTGTCTCTCCTCTAGAAATAACATAAAGTTTTGGGAAGACCTTTGGGTAGGGGAAGTTCTTTGAAATATTTATTTCTTTCTCTTTACACACTATCCTTGTTAAAAGACATCGTTTCTAAGTTTATCACGCTTTGCCTTCACCTACTAGATTTGATTGGAATCTAGGTTTTAGGAGGAATCTTAGGGTGCTAGAGATTCCTCAAGTATCTAATCTGTTAAATATCTTAAAAGGGGTGGTCTTTGATTTCTCAAAGGAGGGTGATCGTCTGTGTACCCCTTTGGTTGGATCTTTCTCTTATGCATCCTTTTTTAAATCCTTGGTGGTCTCCAACCCCCTCCACTCTCTTTTCCTCGGTGTCTTCAAATCGTTGTTGATCCGGACAGTTGAACCGTTCAACCCGGAAACCGTCCTAGCAACAGGTTCCATTTCACCCTTAACCCGTTATTGGGCCAAAAAATGTTGACTTGGTTAGAAAACCGCTGATCCAGGCAGTCAAATTGTTGACTCGTTCATGTTTTAAGAAGTTGTAGAGCAGACTAAGATCTCAGATCTGAGATCACTTTTATCCCAATGAGAGAGAGAGAGAGAGAGAGAGAGAGAGAGAGAGAGAGACCCAAGTATATCTGGAGTTGGAGGAGTAATAAGAAACGACAAAGGAAATATTTATATTAGTTTTACAATAAAAAGAGCTACAATGATAGGAATGCCCCTATCACTAGTAATAACAATAAAACACTTGCTAACAATAATATAATCAGTAAAATATCATCAAGAAATAATGAAGAAGAGGGACCATAAGTTGGTCAATCATTTTCTCTACACTCCCCCTCAAGTTGGGAAAAGATATTTGTCATTCTCAACTTGCTTAAATCTGTCTCAAGCTTGATTTTGTTGACTTCCTTGGTGAAAAGATTAGCAAGCTGCATATTAGAGGAAAAATAAGGAAGGCATAGTTCTTGAGAGGCAACTTTCTCCCATATGAAATATCTGTCAACTTCAATGTTTTTGGTTCTATCATGCTGTATTGGGTTATGAGCAATGTTAATGGTCGCTTGGTTATTACAATACAACAAACAAGCTGAAAACATTGTCCCAGATCTCCTTAGCTAAAAACATCCAAAGATAATGCTAACTTATATGGAGCTGCATAGAGTTGACCAACCATCCGATTACTGTATAGTTCTCTTGCATCCATTTTTCAAATGCAGGGTTTGTCTCTTCGGGTTTCACCTTATTGCCTATGAGATACCCTAATTTACCTCTACTACAAATATAAACTCGTATAGATTGTGCCCAAGCTAGGTAATTGGTTCCATCCAACTTAATTGTGGTTACACCAGTCAAAACGGAATCTATCGAGCCAAGCCTGGATACCAATATCTGCTTGAACTCACTTCCATATTGCTCCATTGATCAAATGGAAATAAAAAAAACTAGATTTAATCTTTACAAACTTAATTGAAGTCAAAACAGTACCCAGGTACTTGACAACTAGGGTTTTACTACACTCGGTTGTTAGGGAGAAAGAGAGAAACTGCAACCGCTCCTACCAGAGCTTCCCAACCTCTTTCAGGACTTAACTGCACACTTCTAGAAGTCAAAATACACCTCCCAAACATTGAGCGCCACACCAAAAGCTTCTCCTTTACCTGTAACTTCAAAACTCTCTAATAAGATAGGGTTTTGGGCAGAAAAAATACAACATCACTTCTTGGAAGTTTTTGGCCAGACTTCAACTCTCCAAACCCTCTACCAACTAGGCAAAAGATCCTCTAAACTATAGAGAACTTATCTCTCCATACACTCTCCTAATCGAAGGGTGTATAGGAAAAGAGAAAAACAAAAAAACAAAAAAAAAGAGAAGGGAGAAACCTGCTTTGATACCAAGAAGTAAATCAGTCCTCTAAAATTGATATAAACTTGATTAAAATTAGAGAGAAAAGTGGAAGAAAGGTAGAAGACAGTAGCACAAAGGAAGAAGATGGAGAAAAAAAGAGGGAGAAGAAGAAGAGCTCGATAATCTCCTCTCTTCCCTCTCTAATCCTTTTGTTAATCTTCATTCACTAAGTTAATAACAAGTATGCCCTTAAGTGGGCGGCCAGCTAAGCAAGAACTTAAAGTAAGCTTATAAATAGAAGTAACAGGCCCATTAACAAACAAATAAATAACACAATAAAAGAATAGATACTAGGGCCCATTCAGCCCAATCTCTCTACAATATTCTTGGTCCTCACCACTTAAAGCTGGACCCTAAGGCGAAGAAGAACCTACACAAAGACTAGATCATAACAAGAATACCCCTTATGATTTCCTACATACCCAAGGAAGACACACTTCTTCACCTTGAAGAATATTGTAGGGGGTCACTAGTGTTAGTACTGATAGTGAATGTGGATGACATTGTGGTCACAAGAAATGAAGTGAGTGAGATTGATACTTTGAAGAAGAACCTACACAAAGAGTTTGATATTAAGGATCTTGGGGAGCTGAAGTATTTTTTGGGCATTGAGGTGGCAAGGTCCAAGCATGGGATTTTCATCTCATAGAGGAAGTATGTTTTGGACTTACTATAGGAGATAGGAAAACTTGGGGCAAGGGCAATTTATACACCTATTGATCAAAACCACAGGATAAATGCTTTAGAAGGTGAGCTGGTGAAGGATGTTATAAGGTATTAGAGATTGGTGCGCCGGTTTCTATACTTATGTATGACACAATCAAATATCCCTTATGAAGTGAGTGTGATGAGTCAATACATGCATGCCCTACGAGTTCAGCATTGGGAGGTCATTGACAGGATACTTTTCCTATTTAAAGGGACACCCAGGTAAAGGTATACTGTTTGCTGACCATGGACATTTGAAGTTAGAGGCTTACACAAATGCTGATTGGGCAGGGTGCCTAGATGACAGGAGATCTACATTAGGAGTTTGTACTCTTGTTGGAGGTAATCTAGTTTCGTGGAAGAGTAAGAAACAATTAGTTGTAACAAGATCAAGTGTAGAAGTTGAATACAGAACTATGGCACATGGTGTTTCAGAGCTCCTCTGGGTCTAATCTGTGTTAGGGGAGATTAGAGTTGAGGCTAAAGAACCTATGATGTTGTGATGTTGTACTATGACAATCAAGTAGCAATTAACATTGCCCACAATCCAGTTCAGCATGATAAGACAAAGCATATAGAAGTGGATAAACACTTTATAAGGGAAATGGTGATATCTGGAGAAGTGTGCTTACCATATGTTGCATCTGACTTGCAGCATGCTGATGTTCTTATAAAAGGTGTTGCAACAAACAAGTTGGAGCATGATCTACGCAAGTGGGGAATGTGTGACATCTATTTCCAACTTGAGGGGGAGTGTTGAGTTTTGGGCTGATAACATTTGTTTTTTATTTACAAAGCATAGTTAGAGAATTATTGGGCCCAAATCCCATTAATTTATGTTTAAACTAAGAGTGTTTGCTCAGTTTTACAAGTAGCTGACTTACTAAGGGCATAATTGTCTTTGTATTTAATTTTATTTATGAGTATATAAGCTAATGAAAGGAGGCCAGACCTAATTTTTGGCTTCTCGCTATTCTCTTTAACTTCTCTCCTTTTCTCTTCTTTGTACAAACCTTCTCTTTTCTTTCTTTCTGTTAGAGTTCACAGAACAGGGGTATTTTTGTCTTTTAGGTTTATTTATTTGAGAGTGAAAGGTCTGTTTTATTCAAGTTTAAGTTATGTGTCCCATCACTTATAAGGGACAATATTGTCTTTCTTGTAACTGATTTTATTTGATATAAATACAAGTGGGTTGACTAGTGAGATAACTTTTCCTCTACTGGCCGAGCCCTTCTTCTTCTTCCTCTTCTTCTTCTCTACTTTAACCTAGAACTGAATAGGGTTGTTCACACTTTCTTTCTTTCTCTCTTTCACAGATTTTATATGAAAATAGAATTTTTGCACTTTTCTACTTCCTTTAAAGAAAAAGACCTCATTTATGAGGTCTTCAAGCAGATGAAGAAATCCACACTGAGTTGGTGGAAAGATGAAAAAATCTCCAATTAAACGAAGATTAAAGCTCCTAATCTTCATGCTCATAGAAACGAAGAAACGAGTGGTTACCAAAATTCGTCCTTTTCTTTATTGCAAGTTTTCTATTGGCCTTCGGAATCTGACTTTACGAAGTTTTTGGGTGCAGTTCTGTGTACCAGAGTCACATCTGGCTCTGTTTGAAGGCAAGAGAGTTCAAGATTGAAGCACAAGAGAGAAGGTGCTGTGGGGTCTTTTACCAGCAGCTATCATCTGGACAGTATGGAAGGAAAGAAATTTGTGCATTTTTTAGAACAAACAAGGTGACTTAGACACAGTGAAGAGTAAGCTAAAGGGTTTGCTATGCTCTTGGCTAGTAATTTTTTTGATGTTGGACTTTTGTTTTCTTAATTGTACTTTTTTTCGTCTCTTTTTGTATATATCCAATATACAGCATCTCTTCGTACAAGAGCTGGTTGTATTCTTTGGCATTTTGACGAAATATATTACCTTATCTGTTTCAGAAATAAATAAATAAATAAAACTGAAGGCCTTTAAACTTGTAAAAAAAATATTTTTATCATCAATAAGATACATTTCATTAAATTTTATTTTTATAAATAATGGAAATTTTCATTAAAAGATAAAAAGGTACAGACTTTGGTGAAGGGTTTCCACCATACATAATAAAGGAATTTCTACAAGATTTACAACACAACAATAAACCCCACAACCAATTTAGTAACTTCCATTCTAAAGACCCAAAACAAGTTTGGAACCAAAGTCCTCTTTTTCTTTAAATTCTGGATGTATCAGTGACTACTTAGTCCACAACCAATAAGAAAAAGTCTGCTATCAGTTTGCTTCTGTGTCCTTTCCCCCAAAATACCCCCAATAGACTGTAAAAAGGAATGATACTCCAAATAACTTTATCTGTCTTACCACTCACAGTATTTGGTGACATAGAAAACATCACCTCCCAACTGAGAAGGATGAGAGTTGTGTATGTTAAACATATAGAAAAACAAAGTTCATACAAATTCCATTGTAATGTAATGAATGAAGAACTTCATGTATTCCTTGTGCTCATTAACATCAAACAAATGCTTAACAGTCGAAAGCCCCTTATTTTTGGATAATTATGTCTCCATGCAACCACCCTAAAAGGAACAGGAGACACTCGAAAATGCATCAAGCAATAAGTCCCAAATTTCATTTGACAAAGTAGAACTTTTCAATATCATTCCTGTCATGTGACAGGAAATCCCTTTGAATCTTCTCTAGACACTTGACCAGAAAGGCTGACATTCTCAAATGAAAGGACATGATCTACCTCAACAAGTACAAGAATATGATGACAATGATAGCAAACTATCATGTAAGAAACAAGACAAGTATTTGTGGCAACTGAGTATGTAAATCAGATTTTCTTGGTTACCTTTTGGACTCCACTGAACACACAGAGCTGCACGGTTTAGCCTAAGAATAACAAGGGTCGGTACCCATTCAGATTCTTCTTGGTTCCAAACATATCTATAAAGAAAATGATAAGTTAGAAAAAAAAAAGAAAATCCTAGAATCTAGAATCGATACCTTTCACTGTTTAAATTGCACATGTCATTCAAGAAACTTAAAAGTATCTTAGCAAGTTACAAGTAGATACTCACGAGTTCCGATCATGTGATACTGTAACAATTCTGTTTGATTTTGCACCCCAATCTATACCAGAAACCATTTGATCATGCTGTGAGAAGATGGAATATAAGAAGATAAGATATTGTTAAAATTTACATTTTTCTCTGGAATTATGTAATAGTAACTAAGCTAGATATGAAAAAGAATGATTCATCAGCACTGTTTTAACACCAAAGTGGAAAGTTACAATGCTATTTCTATATTTTGTGAATACGAACTTTTTATCTTGAGTAGGTTAGAGAGGCTACATAGAAAAACTGATGAAAGAAGAGCAGATGCATGTCAAAAGTGTGTACTATTACAAGTATGCCCTCATTGTCCACTATCAAATACATTATCAATGACGCTTATGATTAATGACCATTACTAAAGGAATTAGAATTTCTTTTCTTTTTGTTTTTTGTTTCTTAAAGGAATTAGAATTTCTTGACACCCCTCAGATTGTATGTCCTCTTTTTTCTATCAAGGATATGCTTGGTTTGAAGGAAAAAGGTAGGGAAAGGAAGGGAAAGGTAGGGAATTTCTTGACACCCCTCAGATTGTATGTCTTCTTTTTTCTATTAAGGTTATGTTTGGTTTCCCTACCTTTCCCTATTTTTTCCTTCAAACCAAACACAGCCTTAATGAATTTTTTTTCTTGACTCTTCAAAAAAAAAATCTAAATGATGGTAAATACTAGTTTCATGATTCTAAAATCAAAAGAAAACACAACAGAATTTCAAGATTAGTTTTCCTAACGTGAAAAAAAAAACTATATCCACCAGTCTGAATATGTGCAGCATACCTTTCGAAGAATGTGTACCCTCTCCCACTTGTCCTTTGAGTAGCCATGTATGTGAACTTCATTATTGTTCGGACAAAATGCAATCACTGCAAAAGATAATCCGGTCTGTCAGAACCATAGTTAAAAATAAGATAGACATATATCTCCAAATAAACCAATTAAATTTCGTCTTTTACTTAGAAATATTTAACACAAGTATATCTTGGACTCGAGGAAAAAGGAATTGGGAACACATCCAGAAATACTAAATGCTTTGAATCCATCAATTATATCAGCAAGCAATGACCTAATATGATGTGATAAAATAATCCTAACATATTGCAATAAACACGAAAGAGATAAACAGTCAATAGTTCAATACTATAAAATAAAATATAGAAGTTACAAATATGATAATAATATAATATTGGTTAAAATTTGGTGGATACAAAAAGTAGAAAACAAGAAAAACAACATCAGATGTATGCTGCTAATGCTACACAGCCTACAACTATTTCCAAGTCATGTTGTTGAAAGGAGAGAATAAACAGTAAAACCTGTTAGCAAAGGGTTGTACAAATGGAAACTCTTTTTACACAGTGGACTATACTAAACAATCCTTCGTTACAACCAAAGTATTTCATTGGTATAGACACTGGAAATTTTTAGGAGAGCTACAACAAATTTGGTCATCAGAGTAATTTGCAGTGGTCATATCAATACTCTGCAATGTAAAGCCTTTCTTCTTGACCACACCAAAGTAAAAACATCATCAAGTTTGATGACTGTACTTTATATAACTCAGGAGCATCAAGAATTGAATTTTTGAGAACAATTATAGTTTGGAAATTACAGCACATACTGAATCAGCTGGTAGAATCATGTAAAAGCTGATGATATTCCTCAGTCTTAAACTGTCAGTCCCTACAAGTTAACGAAGGATATGCATCAATGAAGATTCTCATATTCTGATAGGGTGGGTGAAGAACAAATCCAGACTAATTAGAGATTCTGGTATCAAATTATATAGGGGAAATCTTTGATATCCATAATGATTCCGTCATTTCATTGACTTTCAAGATGAACGAACCCAACTTCTGATAATTTTGCTTGAGAATATTCATCGTGAACTTAGTACTTGGTCTACCTAGGGAGTTGTACTTAAACTCTCTAATCTCCAATCTCCATACATAAATACAATATATTTTCTATTACTGATAAAGAAAATAAACAATATTTTTTATCAGAACTTAACAAATTGTCATGTCTGAAAGCCAACTAAAGAAACAATGTGTGCGAAATAACCAAATTAATAAAATGTAGATGAAAAAGGAATTACAACTACACAATTTCAGATGCACGAGATCCACAAAGCAAAGAACAGGAGCATAGTCCATTGATACCACAGAGAAAAAAAATAAGAAAAGAAAAAAATAGCACTATTTCATCAATTTGGATGCAGGAGCCAGTCCCAATTGTGTAAGAGAAAGCGAGTTAAAAGTGATCTGATTAGAATGAAAGAAAATTTAGAAGCTTACTTGTGCGATCAGAATTCCAGGCATGGCAAGTGATGCACTCATTGAACTGATGAATCGAAACCACAGCCATTGTCTGCAAACAAGCATCACGAATTCTCTTCAGAATGTCAAAATTATAAACCTTTCCTCTTTTTTTCTTTGGTTTTTCTGAAAATTAACGAGAGAGAAGTTCCAAAACCTGAGATGAAAGAGAAAAAATAGCAGAGAGAGAGAGAGAGAGAGATTTAAATCTTGCTTTCGAGACGGTTAGGAAGGTTGAGCAGAGACCAGATATAGTAGGCACACTAGGTGAGCACACTGATTATGTATATACTCATCTTGTTGACACCTGTCCCAAAAGCGTTTAAAGTCGGATCCAAAGATATTAAGAGACAGGTGTCAATATATTAATCGTGTTGTTGTTTAGTGTGTTCAATAACTGTGTCTACCAGATTCGAACTCGACTGAGCAGGGGAAGAGAACGTATTTGTGCTTGCGTATTCGATACTCCGTAAACCAGTGCTCCAGCTTTATTATTCAGATTACGGACCTTAGGACCGGATCGGATGCTTTAGAAACCGGTCATCAGTCTTCACAGTAATTGTTCATCGGATTCGGATTGTTTGGAAAATGGAAACCGATTTGCATTGGACCCGGACAAAATTAGTAAACCAGACATCTATATATCTATCTCTCTCTCTCTATATGTATATATATATATAATAAAATTGGTCCTGCCATGTCAGCAGCCCTTGCTTCAAATTCTCCTTCCTAATTTTCTATTTTTTTGAATTTTTTATTTCTACATAATTACCTATTAAACAAATAATAAAATCATATATGCTTAACTATTTCTAACAACCATAAGAAAGAGGGGTTTACTTTTTTACTGTTTAGCCAAGTGGCACCACTTTCCCCCACTTCCTCCTAAATTGTCTCTAATTCCTCTTTATCCCCTAAATTATCTCTAACTCCTATTTATCTCTTAAATTATCTCTAATTTAATAGAGAGGTTCTCTCATAAACTATCTCCAATTCCTATTTATCCTCTCCCCCACTTTTTATCTATATCTATCTAAAGAAAATTTCAATTAAAAAAAATTCARAACTATTTAAATGTTATAACGAAATTATATACTAAATTTAAAATATTTATTCAAAACAAAAAAATTAATAGATTTAATAATATTCATATTATTAATGAATCAATATTTTTACCAAATTCATCATGAAATTATGTAGTAACAATATAAATTACAATTTTATGAATTATTTAATTAAAATTTTATTCAAATAATAAAAATTTAACATTAAAAATAAAATATTATTTAAATATTTCAATAACTAAAAATCTTAAGAAAATATTAAAAATAGCTAAATAATATAAAAATATTTAATATTACTTAATAACATTAAAATCAATAAAATTCAAATAATGAAATTTTTAAAATTTTTTAAATATTATTTAAATATTTAAATAACAAAATATTTAACATGACAAAAATTTAAATAGTTAAAATAACGAAATTATGTAATAAATTAAAAAAAATCTTAAAAGTAGAAAAATAATTATAATAGAATTCATAATATTCATATTAATAATAATTTAATATTCTACAAAATTAATAACGAATTATGCAATAATAGTATAATTATAATTTTATGGATTATTAAATTCAATAAATAATTAATATTTTATGAATTTAAATAACAATATTATTTCAATAACTAAATAATATTGTAATAACTAGTTTCACTTATATCAATTAATAATTATAGAAAATAACTATCAACAAAATTATATTTATTAGTAATAATTTTACAATAATAGTGTATCATTATATATTTATATATACTATAATTAATACTTATTTATTTTTAGTAATTATTTATTATTTTTTATAAATATGCTTTCAATAATTATTTATAAATGTATTTTAATTTTGTTATTTAATAGAAAATTATCAATAATTATTGGAGATTAAAAAACTATTATTTAACTTTTGAAATTTAATTTATTGTATTTATTGTATTTTTGTTATAAATTTATTTTTAGTAATTATATATTTTATATTTTATAGATTAATACTTATTAGAGATTAAATTATTATTTAAGATTACACTATTTATTGACTAATTTAGTATATTTTCAGTATTTATTATATTTTAGCAATTATTGTATTTTTATTATATATCTATTATATTTTCATTATAAACTTATTTTCAATGATTGTGCACGTTTGCTATAAATTTTCAATAATTATTGGAGATTAAACTATTGTTATTTATTAGATATTAGACTATAAATTTAGTTGAAATTAGGAGTGTTCAATGATTGGTTCAGTTTAGTTGCATGCTGTTTCGCCAACCAAATCGATCCGGTCACATCCTCAGTTTGTTACTTGAAACCGATTGACCATTAGCGAAAACCCACCAACTCGAGTTGTGTCGATTTGGGTCTATCGTTTAACTTACGCTTAACAAATCGCGGGTCCCTGTCACCATGCCTCTCCATGCTCCATTATCCCCACCCTACATTCTCTTTGACTTTCTCTCCTCTCGCCTTCCCACCACTTCCATTAAGCCATGTCACCCAACTACCTAAAAATATTCATATAATCTCTCTCCTAAGGTATCTCATTTAAACCAATAGGAAAGTGTCGTTTTGCCCCATTCCCTAATCAATTCCTAAAATGCATTCCCCAATCTATATCCACTCTCCCTCATTTAAAATATTCATATTAATTAATAAATAGTTAAATACGGTTAATATTTAATCCCACGCATATTCAATGAGTATTAAATAGTGTTATTACCAAAACTTAATAAATATAGTTAGTAAATTACCAAAAATTAAATATTCTTATTAGTATGGTTAGTAAATTACCAAAAATTAATAGATATTATTATTAATTAACTCATTAACAACATTTTATAGAAATTGAAAACTCTTTAACTAATTTCTATAAAACTGAGAATTATATTTAACAATTATCGAAAGGTATAAAATTTTAGTTATTGTTATTATTATAATTGATAACCAAATACAAATGGGGGAACATAATATTATAATGTTAGAAAATAGAATTATTAATTAATTTATATTAAAAAATAAAAGATAAAATAGTGTAATTTTGTTAGTAAACTACCAAATAAAAAATATATTTAATAACAATTTAATTTTTTTTCAATAAATCCCCATAGTTACACAAATGTAATAAATTTTTCAAAAATTTTCATAAAATTACATTTTCATAAAATAACATTTTTGAAATTAATAGATATAAAGTATTTGAAAGTTTATTTAAAATGCATTAAATAATTATTGAAAATTATTAGAATATTTTGGAAATTTTAGGAAAAATTATTACATTTGATAGATTTTGGAAAACCATTGAAAAATTATGTAATTTTCCTAGAAATTTATTGAAAATTATTAAAGATAAATGACTATGGGAAATGGAAAASTATAAWTTGAACAAATAATTACACAAATTATTAAGATAAATTAGTATAATATTGGAAAAAGGAAAATTAGTATAATTCTGTAAGTAAACCATTTAAAAAGAAAATAAATTATTTAATAAAAATTAAATAAATTTGAATAAATTTTCAAAATTACACAAGTATAATAAATTTTGCAAAACTTTCATAAAATTACATTTTTGAATATTAAAGACAATTTAGTATACTTCAAGAAATTTAGCATGTGGTTGATACTCAACATATCCTTTTGATCATTTCTATCATTAAATTGAATATTGGGTTGACGGGGACAGTGTTTTCAAAACTGGATGAAACTAGATGGTTAGACCGGAAAAATTGGGAACCGGACACCGTTTCACTTCAAAACCGCTTTTTTTTCCAGAAACCATTTATTTGGTTAGCGAACCACTGACTTAGGCAGTTGAACCGTCAATCCGGATAGCAGTTTTTGGCCTTTTTTTGTTTTTCTAATTTTTTATTTTATTTTGTTAGAGCAGGTCATCCGTTTGGACTAAACAGTCAAACCGTTTGACACCATAACGGTTCCATATCCGGTCCAATTTTAAAAACCTTGGATGGGGAGTGGGTGCCTTGCCTTGAGCTTGGCTTGGTGTGCGGGCTCGAGCCGTGGACCATGCCGAACCGATCCCCCAAATTATCCTAGAGGAGGGAGGCATGGTTCGAGACACCTCGTGGGCTAGCACAACACGACCCAGCGTGCCCCAATTTACACTTCTACTTGAACCTGCCCAATACTAGGGACAGGGTGGGGAAATTCGAGGATTTTCCATCATTGATGAGGAGTGGGGTGCCTTGCGCCTAAACTCGCCCAACATTGAGGAGTGGTTACCTTGTCTTCAACCTGCGTGACACTGGGGCGGGGCG